TGATTGAAACAAGATAGAGAGCTGCGGTTTTCACCGTTGGAAAGCGTAGATGAAGACGCATCGAATTGCGTATTATATATTTTCCTAGACGTCATCTGAAATTTCTTCAACTAATTTTCTAAGTATGCAAAAAGAATATTTTTTTTTCTGCATAGAAACTGCTAGAAAAATCACTGAGAGCCTCGACTAGAACATCTATAACTCCTGAATGATTAATTCGAAATATGCGAACCGTCTGCAGTTTTGTAGATCTTCTATCGACAGTTTCAGTACACACCTGAAAATTGAGAATTCACTGTAAACACCTCATGAGTATGTTTGTTTTCAAAGAGGTTGATTGCAAACCTTTAAAAAGCCATGTTAAGAAATATATAGTATAAGATTCGATACATCTTCATTTTCTCTTTCGAACGGTGAAAACCGCAATTCTGTCTTATTTATATCAAAAGTTATTCAAAAAGTATTCACTGAATAGGAATTACTATAACCGTCACATATGATAGAAAAATAGATCTTATCGAAAATTTTATTATTATGATATTAGTTTCATTATGATCAAATAAAAAAGAGCGAATGTCTTTCATGAAATTTTCAATAAGATTTGATCGTTTTCTTTGTTGGTCTCAGGAACAATTTCATTAAAATAGCCATGACTGTTTATCAGAAGATCATGAAATCTACTCCTTTAAAGTTTAACTTAACTGCACTGAGATCTATCCCGTCGTCAGAGCATGAGGACGAATGATCTCCAACAATTGCATATATTTTCTCTTCAGTTCTTTTGTATCGACTCATTGCATTTAACGGAAAAAACTTTATCAAGTACTAATAACAAAAAAAAAATAACCTAAATATATATTTCAAATTGTTCAATTCTTTATTTTTATTAATAAGAAAACAAACTAGAGACACATATTAATGAAAACAATTTTAAGATTTTCTGTTATTTTGATCATATTGATGTAATTAATGGAGCCAAAGCAATATCATTTTTTGCTCGATCTTTTTTGAAACCATCAACTATTTTTTGTGCCGATGACTTCGAAATCTTATGACTATGTCGTAAATGATATGTTAATCTATTAAATGCAATTAAACGACGTTGACATGGTGAAACCATTACATTTTGTTGACTAGATTTTAGGGAATTAATTCGTCCATGAAAAAAAGGACATGCGACTTTATAAAAATGATCAATTACATTTTCATTTTCATCAAACAATTTTGTCTTCCTAGGATCTTTATTATCGGCAACAGCTCGTACCAAACGTTGAGCATAAACTTTTTTTATTCGATGCTTGTACATGAAATGGAGATATAATTCGATTCGACGAGTTGTTCGATGATCACAAAATTCAATAGAATGATTTGCTTGAGTAAGACCATATGCTCCATCAAATGTTAATGAACATTTTTTAACAATACTTCTATATAATATTTGTTTATCTACCACTTCTACTTCATTTTCATGTTGATCCTGAAAAAATATAATGAATATTTAAATACGACGTTAAACTTATTTCATACAATACAGAAAATCATGATATTCATGTAAACTGATTTCATATAATATTTCATTAAAAATGAGGTGTTATGTATTTGAAAATAGAACTTCGCTACAAGACGAAGTTTATTAATGAAAATATTTAAACTCGAAAAATTCTAATTTATGTGTACAGGGTGAATAAAAATATTTTTCCAGGGGATAACGCTATGATTTAAAATAGCATCTGTAACTAATTTTAACCAAATTAAAGCGCATCGAAAATGAAATCTAGAGACGCTAAATAGTAAATATTATGGTAAATTTGCAGTATCGAATTTTGAAAATTCCTAGAATTTTACACCATATTTATAAAGAAACATTATTTTCATGAAGGCAGTTCCCACTAGATCTCATTTAAAATGATGAATAACACAGTACAGTTTACACCTGGATCGAAAATATTGGAACTACAGGCGAAAATGAAACTGAAAAAATATTCTATCAGTGATGGATCACAACCGTTACAATGAAATAACTGTGAAAAACAAATTTTAAATGTTTTGACAGACATTAAACTATTTGAAACTATGTAACATTCATATTCATCTCATCTTCGTACTGTAAAGATGGCCTACTGTTTGCCATACGGACTATTGATGATATTCATCATTCGATGCTTAAATTTACCATAACCTTTACTATTTAGCATTAACCGATCCCATTTTCGACACCCTTTCATTTGGTATAGAATTTGTTACAGATGCTATTTTAAGAAAAGATCCATGAGAAGATCGAGTGTCATCACCGTATACGAGACATCGGTGAAAATTTAGATTTTTCATTTTTTGTGCACCTGAAAAGTCATAGTCTAAAACTACCAAGCATGAATTTTTAGCTCATTGGATTGTACAATAGTAAAATTAGTCAAAAAATGTGAGATAAATGTGTGGGTCTGCATATGAGTCTTGGCTATACGCACATTCACATCATCGATGGTGATTCCGAGTATCGCAATCATTCTGACTGAAAATCGTGTCTTATCAATGAAAGACCGCTAAAAATATTTGGTTTTTGTGAAAAATTATCAAAAATTGCTATGTAAGAAAGACATGTAGACGCTATTTTACTTCGATGGATAACTTTTTTTTCCGATTTTTTTGACCATGTCGTAGAGAATCAAAATATACATAATATGCATAAAAATCACATTGGAGTCGTTTCTTTTCAGAAACCGGTAGCTGATATATTGTCAAAAATCGACCGTTTTAAAGTCATTAATAGTGGCAATTCTCACTTTTGTTGGACTAAATAGCTCATTTTTTTCAATGATCAACTCTCTATTTTTTAGTATTTTGTGCAATGAACAAATATCTGATTTGTTGAAGGACAATGTTAATAAATATTTACGGAGTATTTTTGATAATAGGTTGAGCGCTCATAAGTTGGTATTGAGTAACTTTACTATAGTACAACCAAATGAGTTAAAAACTTAGGTTGTTGTAGTTTTAGACTATGACCTTTGAAACGGACATAAAAAATGAAAATTTTGACCGGTGCCTCAGCTGCTGCGCTCCTTCATGGATGCCTTCATAAGTCAGCAATATCCCGATGGAAAAATATTTTTTACGCACTCTGCACAAAACTAATTTCAATAGTAACATCATATTCTCGTTAATTATCTTGAAGAGCAAATCTGTGAGATACAGATATTTCACAGATTCGAAAAAAAGCAAATTGTTCACTTAGCACTTGATTGGTGCCGAAATATCCTTTTCTAAACAGCCTCTATTGAATGTGCAACTTTTATTTTATTTACTACTAGTATTTATCTAATTTAACCATTTCTTATCACTGGGTTTAAAACGAAATTTTGCCAAAAATCATTTTCCTGATTCTTAATTTAAAAAGAAAACTTTTGAATCCGATCTCTTCAAATGTCAAAAAGCTTAGATAAATTCAGTTAGATAGAATATACACACGATTACCTCGAGCACCAGGCTGCAAGAAGAATCAAATACAACTAACTCAATTTACAGAAAATCTCATTTTTCTGCGGTAATACAGAAGAAAATCTGTTGAATCACATCAAAACTCGATCAGTCGACTCGGATCATTTCCGGACTTAATTTCGGATTACTATAGTGACCATATTTAGAACATATTTATTACTATTTCTTCATGGATATAGTTAATTTTACCTGAATAGACTCCGTCGTTTCACTAAGAGAAAGAAAAATATGCAATCAGTTTCAAATATTTTTTTAATAAAAAACAAACTTACTCAAATGAAGTAATATCAACAAAATCATGATTGATGTCCGTTGTATGTTCATAATCTTAAATCAATCATGTTTGATTTTCTTTTTGAAGTTAAAGAAAATTTAACTTACCTTTCGAGATAGCCGATTCTTCTGCTACATCTAAACATAGAAAAACTTATATTTTCAAGGTATTTTTTATCCTGCAAGGAAAATACATGATCTGATCTTCAGCGTTTAGACTCATATTAGAGCAACAATAAAAGCTTGGGTTAGAGTAGAAAAGGCTTGAAAAGAATCGTGCCCATGAACTGATTTAGTGATTTTTCGACATCTTTTAGTATTCATTCAATAATAAATTAACCGAACTTCATCCGTTGATTGATTTAATGACGAATCTGAAATCAGCAGTGACCAAAAAGAAATGTTCATTCATTGAGATACCAAATTTGTATTAAATAAGCACTGACCAAAATCGAATTTCCTTGAAAATGCAGTATCTTAATCAGTCAACATTTTCTTTTTGGCTGAAATTCTCACGCTATTTCGAGGGTCATCAGACTTATCTATGGATATTTGCAGATTGAAAATTGTCTAACGCAGTGGTAACTTGGCTCATGGATTACAAATGCTTTTACTAAGAGATCTTTCTA